GACCCTGTTCACTGTTACTTCTAGTTAACGCGTTATAACAGTTGACATTCCAAGCATCTGTAACTCTACACCTTTTCCTCGGAGTGTATTTCTGTATTTATTTGGTTCTCAGGATAAAAATGAACTATTTATTTTCGCAGATTTATTGACCGAATGAGACTACAACGAAGATTTAGTGTGAAGAGGTCTATGGTCCGGGATATAAGGCCATGTAGTATGGTAAAAGTTTCCCAGAGTTTCGGAGGAATATTAAGTTCCCATCTTCACGGTCGAAGAATGAGTCAAGCAAGAAACCATCAAGAAGCAAGCAGCAACCAGAGTCAAATATGTCTGGTGCATGCTTCATATTAAATGCTTGCTTGGCTTACTCTTCAAGCTTGAAGTTCGAGGCAATATGTTTCTCCGAATCTTTGACACATACGTGTATTATACCATATTACGTTGCGTCATATTGCAGAAGGTAGTAATCTTAATAGTCGCCGCTGTAACAATCATATACCAAAAATGATTAGATGTGTTTTTTCAGGTAGGAAACCCATGTCAATCCTATGTTCATTATTTTTAAAACATGCTGTCTGTGTGTCTATCCCACCTAACAACTTTCCAGTGTCTGTACCGATCTTATTGAAACTTTATGAAGTAAAGTTTTCCTTGTGCTTGACTAATTAAGCACTACACCATGAAGGAATTTGGGGGAATGGATGTATAGATCCACGTTTTCTTGACCTCGGCACTAGCTGGAGATACGTGGTCAACTTCACGCTCCTACCGTTTTACCCTCGGGGAAAGAGCCCCCGGTACACATTGGATAGGAAGCCGGGTGAGCCCCACAGCCGGTCTGGACGATATGGAGAAGGGAAAATTCTGACCCTACCGGGACTCGAACTCCGACCCCTCGGTCGTCCAGCCCGTTGACAGTCGCTATGCCGACTACGCTACCCCGACACACACACACACAAATATATATATATATAAAATGCCACCTGAGGACATCTCAACGGTGTAACTTCTCATTTACCTTCTATCAGTAATACCAACACCGCAGCCCCTCAAATTATTGGGGTAATAATGTTACCCGACTGTCTGAACCGATCGCAGTGGTGTACTTCATACGTCCCTCCCTTCAGTAATACCAACACTGCAGGCTCTCAAATTTCACTTCATTACTCATGCGTACTAAGTTTCCTGCTTGTCGTATCAAATACCCAAATTGCAGTAAAAGGAAAGTATACAATTAGTTCTCCCACAGCTTCTTGTTTTGGTTTACATGTACTGGAGTGATTTAATAATATGACTCATGTTGTAAAGTACGTTTTGTTTGAGCCAATGATTAGGAAGGGAGAGAGAGAGAGAGAGAGAATTAAAAATTTCCCTTCAATGTCGATACTCTATTCTTCACTTTGTAGTAGCGTCATAAAAATTGTAAAAATCTTACTAGTGGATTTACAGATCGGCCAAGGTGTGATTACCCTTGGCTGAAATGCAAACTACTCTGTGAAGAAAAACAGCAGCAGGAAATACGCTCATGAAATCAATCGGCTTCTTCTTACGCCGGTCCAGAAAATGTTTGCTGTCAAATTTTAACAGGCTGGTTCTTGTGTAGTGCCATTATCATAGAAACTAATAAAACAAACAAACAAAAAATAAAAACAAACCCCGTGGCCTTTAGTCCGCAAGCGAACTATACCGACCGAGCGACCGCCTCTTGTTGGCGAAGTTAGTGGCAACTTTTGAGGATAGAGGGTGTCGCGTCGTCAGCGCAACGGATTCCCACTCCCGTTAATCTCGGTTTTCTAGACCGCAGCAGCTACTTTTCCATTCAAGTAGCTCCTCAATTATCCTCACGAGGTTGAGTGGACCCTGTTCCAGACCCACTATTTCACAGAAAATCTGGTTGCACCAAGAATCGAACCCGGGACCTCTGGATCTGTAGCCAGAAATTCTGACCACTAGACCACAGAGGCGGTCCCGACGAAGACATTACTACGTAGAAGAGCAGCTTCAGTGCTGCAATGAAGGAAGGTAGAATAAACGATTTATTATTACTTTGGGAAGAACAGACATGAAAAGAGGAAAAGCAACGAAAAGTGAACTGCCAGAGAGAAACATACGTATGAACTTGGGAAATGTAGAATGACATGGGGGGAAAACTTTTATGAACTCCCCGAAAATTTCTGCATACCAGAATATAATTCATTGAATGACGCCGAAAAGTGTGTTATGCGTAGACAAATTTTCTAGAATACTATGACCTAAACAAAGAAATTCACACTTTCACCAGATGTCTTAACTTGAAAGTTGTGATTTGAAAGAGGAAAGAAACTTCTGAAAATAGTGAAAGAGATTGCGTTCCGTTTTAAGAAAGGAGAAACAAATATTTTGTACGATTGTAAGATTTCAGGTTTTCACGGCGGTCACTATGAAGAATGCCATCTTCTGGGATGTGGCGCCGTGTATATCTTGTGTGAACCTACGTTTCGGAGAAACGTGTCGCCTCCATCTTCAGGGTGGAAAAATCCGCTAGCGAGGAACCAGCCTGAGCAGGTGGCTGCAGCCACCTGAGACTGCAGATTCAGGCTGCAGCCACCTGCTGAAGCTTATCCCCCGCTCGCGGATTTTTCTACCCTGAAGATGGAGACGATATATTCCTCCGGTTATAGTTGTTCATGCAGGAGATGAGATGAGGTTTGTTGGTGGCGTGGAATTAATGTATGATTCAGTCCCGAAGTCAGAAGACGTCCTTCTCGGTACGACCGGCATAAATCGTAGGAAGTGCCTGAACGAAAACCATACCCTACAATAGAAAATACGATGACATCATAGAAACGAATAAAAAAGGACAGTATTTAAACACATTGGAAAACTACCATATATACAGAACAACAAAGAAAAACACGCATATGAACAACGTAAATAAAGAAATATGTAACCCAATATTTCATGAATTACACACAATTACACAGAACAACACAACACAACCCCACCACCTACTCCCACTACAATTACCCCCACAACACCATAATTCGATCAATAATATAAGAGAACGAAAACAGCACACACACACACACACATCCAACGATACAACGCACGCAACCACAAGAGTAGAACACATCATAAGACATAGTGAGTACTGAACAGTATAATATTAACAACACGAAACGACTAGAAATCAAAACATAACATTAATATGTAACATTTTTCACGTTGCAGATATACACACAACATTAGAGACATAAGAAGAACGACTCCCATGTCGATGATTAATAATACACACGAATTTAAAATATGACGTATGAGATAATAGGTTTTAATAAGTTTTAAATACATAAACTTTATTATTATATAAGGACGTATACAAGTTTAATATTATTTGTAAATGGACATATAAAGGCAAGCAGTGAAATAGTTGACCTGAAGATGGCAGCATACTGCCGAAGCATGTAGTGTAGAAGTGGTAGATGGGATTGTATGCACTTGAAGACTGTTAATACATACACATTATGAATATGAATCAGTGAAACAGGACGCTAAAATACAACATAGTTGACATTGTATAATCAGGTTTGTTAAATAACGCAAGAATTATTCTCTTCAAATTGACTTCTTCACTTCATCCAAGGATTTATCATGACACCACACTGCTTGAACAGTAGATTATTTTACGACGTTTTATCATGTATGGGATCTATTTAACACTGAAAGAAATGCAAGGAATTATGAAGGGTAAATTGTGTAGGGTAGAGAGGAATCGCATTTGGACTACTTGAATTGATACCAACTCGGTACGTTTGGATTAATTTAGTAAAAGTCTGAGGCAAGATAACTTGTTCCCCGACAGAAAAGTGTTGTGGTATTTCAGAAGAAAATGCCTTGGTCCCGTGTTTGTAATGTAGGCTTAAATTTAAATTATGTTTAAGTAATGCAAACATGAAATCGTTCCTGGGCGTTTAATGAAATCAGTTGTACATAAACAAATGGAAATACACACAGTAATAAACTTAGCTGAGCCTACAGGAAGAGAATGAACAGGATAATTAATTAACAAGCTTAAACAGAGCTGTAATCTGATTAACGGATCATTACTGGTATACATATAGAGGCCAAGGTATTACATGAGGGTTACCGAACCAGTAGCCACAGAGGAAGTCCCTTCTCTTCCGTTGCAAGGAGATTTTTATACTCATACAAAGAGAAACGTCCAGTTATATTTGGAATGCATGAAGCGAGACATATGGAAGTATCCGAAATAAATATCTGAAAGCTATCCGTCAGGAATACTTTCATAAATAATAATTTAAATAAAAATGTATCAGTTGCCGCTCGGCCTAAGGCATGAAATGTCTTCCCCCGCTCTTCCCAGTCAAGGCATGGATGTTTGTCTGCGTTTATTCTTTGTTTATGTTGTGTCTGTAGGTAGAGGCCTTGCAACGGGCTGATCCCCCGTTCAAAGAGTCTTGCCGATCCTGTATAGGATTAAAAAACCGTAAAGCGGCTAAGGTCCAACAAAGGGCTGTTGAGCCATAAATGGATAGATCTGGCAAATGTCTTTACAAGCCGCATATATAGACAAGCAATCGAAAGCTTCGCCATTAAAAATCTCTCTATATTGTCGTAACTTTATATTAAATTGCCTTCTCAATACGGCATGGGTGAGCCCATCTAAGTGACGTACTTGCATCCTGGAGCTGTCTGCTTCCGATGATGGTGAGGTCAAGGTCAAGGTTTTTGTATTGTCGCCAATCCTAGGAAGGCTGTTACTGACGTAGTACCACAAAGTAAAAAGTTCACTCTTGAGGCAAATTAGAATTTCGACCGTTTCAGTGTAGTTACAGTCCCGTAAGGCTGAGGTTTAACGGGGCATGACATTTTTTGAACTGACGTAATTTGAATTAATTGCGCGGTTCTGACAAGATACATGAAACATTTTAATCAGAGAAGTGTCGTAACACGGAATTGCGCAACCTCAGTTTCTTGAGGGCCCATGTATTGGCTTAAACGGTTAGACGCTGGCTTCTGCCTGCGATTTTTCTGCTTCTGACTCAAGTACCTTGTAAGGGATTAGTGGGTAAGTTTATAAGGGGATTTTTTTTAATTAAGCCTACTTCTATCCGTTCATTTCACTTATATCACATACCAACTTCACGAATCAGGACAGAACAGAGAGAAAGCGTATCCATATTATTTCAGCGACAAAGGCGCTGAAGAATGGTGTCTTCTGGGATGGGACTGTGTGTAGTCTGGTAGTTTACTGACCTTTCGGAGCAGCATAATTTGAAAAATTTGGGCACGAGATAGCGTAGTTGGTTGAGGCACTGCGCTACAAACCGGAACATCGCGGGTTGAAGTCCCGATGAGGTCATTGGATTTTTCAATTGACCTAATCCTGAACGTTATCTGTGAGTCGATTGTCTAGAAAATGTGGGAGCCTCGACGTCTCGCAACCCTATTGGCCTCCACTGCATGTTAGAGGGATAGCACTATAATTAGCGAAGTGGAGACAGTGAACTTCTACCAGACTACACGTCGTTACATCCAAGAAGACAGTAATGCCCACAGGCATCACCGGGAGAACTTCTGATTTCGCATAACACGTTGAATTCTTTCAGTCATTGTGACTAGTTTTCTGTCCTATTCTGTAGTCACATCTGTGGTGATTTTCTTTCAGGTTGCTGTTTAATGGAGGAACTCGCACAAGCGGCTAAGAATCTGGCATCTAGCTCTGGAGTGGTGAGTAAAAGATTGCCCTCAAATCGCTTACAAGTAGAAGCTTCTTGACATGGTACGTGAGGAGAGCCGTCTGTTGCTCTAACACAGGAGACGTTCCGAAGCACCATTACTATACTAACATTGTCTTCGTGCCTGATCCAGAACTGCGTGGAATATCTCTCTGTTGCTCTACGGTACTTTTGTCGGACCTTAGCTGCTTTTTCGGTTTCTTAATCCTACTTAGTAGTCAGTAGGACTCCTTGGACGGGGGATCAGCCCGTCGCAAGGCCGCTACCTACACACAGAACAACACAAATACAAAATAAACGCACACAGACATCCATGCCTTGAGTGGGATCCGAACTCACGATCCAAGCGTCCGAGCGAGCGAAGACAATTCATGCCTTAGACCGCGCGGTCACTGTGATCGGCCACTGCTTGGGCTAAGTGAGCAGAATAGCCGATGGAAGGATTTATTTCTGCAATCAGTGGCTTTAGTGGTGAGTGAGATCTCTGTGCTTGGCCTTGTGTTCATACAGACTGGGTGACACAGTTTAACGTGTTAGGTCATGAGATATTTCCTTATTTCAGATCCACAAAAATGCAAGTCTACTAGTGTATCAGAAAACATTATGCTATTCATTTAATTTTTTATTTATTTTCTTGTTAGTTTTATGGAAAAGTGATAAAGTCAGGGAGCTATGTTTAGTCCGTGGGAAATGAGAAATACGTAGAAAGATTTACTCATAAGACTTTAAGGAAGATGGGAAGGTAACATTAAAACTTCTCTTCAGTTAATTAAATGTTATCATTGAGTGCATTGAATTGATTGAGAGCAAGGTCCAGTGACCGGTCATTTTGCACACGGTAATGAAACTTAGGTTTCCATAAAAGGTGGGGAATTTGTTGAGCAGCTGAGCCACTAAAACCATTTAACGAAGGACTCTTATCGGTGGAATTAATTTTCTTATGAAAACAAGAAGCGACATGTGAAAGAAATTAATGGCGTGATACATAAATATGTTGACGGAAGGAAACGTATAAAATATTAGTACAATTGTGTTGTCGTGGCTTCAGTACAGGAGTGTAGGCTACATAGGCGCCGTAGCTGAAGCGGTTAGTCGCTGGCTTCCCACCGCGGTGGCCCGGGTTCCATCCCGGGTCTGGTCAAGTGGGATTTGTGGTGGACAAAGTGGCGCTGGGGTGTGTTTTCTCCGAGTATTTCGGTTTCCCCTGCCAATTTTCATTCCACCAAATTCTCCATCATCATAATGACCTGGGGCAGGCTACAATAAACCAATCAGTGGCCGCCGTGCCAAGTGGACCCAGTTGGACTTCACCCCCCACTAAGCGAATTTAAAAAGAATCCTGCAAGTTTAACACTGTGGAGATAAAATTAACAGACGTGTAACAACTGGGGCTTATAGCATACTGCCGATTACAGTGGCTGCGCGGTATGAGACACGAAATGTCTTCGCCCGCCCAAACACTGGAAACGTGGGTTCGAATACCACTCAAGGCATGGATGTCTGTGTTAGGTAGCGGCATTGAGACGGGTTGATCCCCCGTCCAAGAAGTCCTACCGACTGTTTAAAATTAAGAAACTAAGTGAAACGAAGCGTTTCACAGATGCCATATGCTCCAAATTGGGAGCAGCAGGAATGGAAGAAGAAGAAGAAGATAGCATACTAATTTTCATAATGTGCATCCTGATGTGTGTCACAAACACAAGACATAATTTCTACACCTTTTGTAACCTTTACAATAGACGCGTCGCACCACAATATGGTTTCGTGTTGATAATTCAGTTAGCCTTGTCCTATTACTGTACACTGCCTGATGATGGTCCCCTGAGAACCGAAGCATATAGCGGTAAACAATACAATTCAATCTATGAGATATTGATTTGAGTGTGAAACAGTTTTTTTTTTTGTGTTGGCTGATTCCTTACCTAGTGGTTCAAGATCAATTTAGTAATGACAGTTGTCGCACGCTGTCAGTGATGGTGATTGTACAAGTATATGCATAGTAAACTACAAAATGAGGAAATAATATTTAGTAGTAAGTGAGGCTACGAAAGTGCAGACTACTTTCTTCTAATCCATCATTAAATAAATTGACCTGTATTTTATGGAGTTATTCTTCATGTATTAAAGCAGATTCATCGCCTGAAAGTACTTAGATGCAAGTCATGATGTTGTGAACCAGGGAAATGAGCGTCGGTACATATGAGCAGTTTAAGCTTATATTTATACATTTGTATAAAGGAACTAAGGAAATCAGGAAACACCTCACTCAGTATAAGTCAATCGCAACGCATTCCAACCGAGTACCTCCCTAATTCATGATAGACGAAAGACGGCTAAACACCAAGGGAATATCAGGAGAATCGGTGTTTCTGCTAAGTCTCGAGCCAGGCACCTTTTGAGTACAAATCAGAGGCATTCGTATATGAACCAATTTAAACGGGCGCGTGTCCAAAGTGAATATATGTAAAATGGACTACATATAATTTATGCCTATATATCAAACAGTTCTGTGCGTGTTGTTAGGAAAAATTCATGTTCGCCTAGTACATGTGTCATTGAAGTACTGTATTTTACGTGACGTGCTATTTTTTTTCTTTTTTCTTTTGTCGCTACAGTCCAAATTTTTGCCTTGGCCTACCTCCATGGAACTCTCCTTTTCACTAGAACTTACTAGATCTTAGACATTCGGTAAGACTCCTTGGGCGGGTTATCAACTCGTCGCAAGGCCTCTACCTGTACACCGACACCTGTACACACACACAAACACGGAACATCCGTGCCCTCAGTGGGATTCGAACCCAGGATTCCGTCTTCCGAGCGAGCGGAGACAGTGCAAGCCCTAGACCCCCGACTACCGTGACCGGCAAATTTTTCTTAACACATAAAACATGTTCCATCAATATTTTTTCTTGATTGTTTCTATTAGTACCAGAATATTTTAAGGAGTGCGTCTGATATGCAGTGATGACCTGCTTGCAGGTGCCCACAACACTCTGAATAGGGAGAAGAAGTACTTCTGTCAGTTATTCAATGCGCTTAGGGTCAGTGATGTTAGGCAGATAGATATATACGTACAGCTGAGTCGTTAGTACCTAATCCTGGTTCTGCTGAGGTTGAAAATACTATTGCGAGTAGTGACCAAATTCCGGCAGAACAGATTCAAGCAGGAGGTAAAGAATTACGGTCTTGAGATCCACAAACTCATTAATTATATTTGCAATAAGGAAGAATTATCTGATCAGTGGAAGGAGTCTATTATTGTACCAATTTACAAGAAGGGTGATAAAACTGAATGTAATAAGTCGTGATTATCGGATATAACTGCTGCCATCACACAAAATTGTATCTAATATCCGTCTCTCAAAATTAAGTCCATATATAGGTGAAAGTATTGGGGTTTCGGCGTAACTGTTCAACTAGTGAGCAGATCTTTTGCAATCGTCAGATACTGGAGAAAAAATTGGTTTACAATGAGACAGTACGTCAGCTATTCATAGATTTTAAGAAAGCCTATGATTCAGTTAGGAGGGAAGTATTGTATTACAATATTCTCATAGAGTTTGGGGTACCTATGAAACTATTTAGGCTGATTAAAATATGCTTAAACAAAACGTCTAGTAAGTCTTATAGGTAAACATTTTTCTGATAATTTTCTTATCTAAAATGGTTTAAAACAAGGAGATGCTTTATCGCCATTGCTTTTCGACTTTTACCTTAAAATATGCCGTTAGGATGGTCAAGGAAAACCATTTGGAACTGAAATTAATTGGGACACATCAGTTGCTGGTCTGTGCTGATAATATGAATCTACGGGAGATAATATAAATACCACAGAGAATATCACAGAAACTTTGATTGACGCAAGTAAGGAGGTTGGTCTAGAAGTAAACAGAGAGAACACTAAATATATGTTGCTGTCTCGTCACCAGAATGGGGGTCACAATCATGACATTAATATGTCTAACGTATTTTTTGAAAATATAAGACAGTTAAATTATCTGGGAACCACAGTAGCAATTCAAAGTTTGATTCAGGAGGAAATGGAGATTATATTCGAGCAATGCTTTCTGTCACTCAGTCAAAAATCTTCTGTCTTCTCGTCTGCTGTCTAAAAATATAAATATTTACTTACTTACTTACTCACTCATAGAGCTGAGCCTTTCTGGAGGAGCCGCCAATTCTGCAGCTACTCAAGAATTTCCCAGCATTTTATGGAACCCGAAGGTTCATCACCATGTTCACAAGAGCCCTCCACTGGTCCCTATCCTGAGCCAGATCTATCCAATCCATACCATCCCATTCTATCTCTCTAAGATCCATTCTAATATTGTTCACCCACCTACGCCTTGGTCTTCCCTGTGGTCTCTTTCCTTCTGGCTTTCCCACCAATATCCTATACGCATTCCTCGTCTCCCCCATTCGTGCTACATGCCCTGCCCACCTCATCCTCCTTTACTTGATCATTCTAATTATACTTGGAGAAGAATACAAGTTATGAAGCTCCTCATTATGCTGTTTTCTCCAACCTCCTGTCACTTCATCCCTCTTCGGTCCAAATATTCTCTTCAACAGCCTGTTCTCAAACACCCTCAGTCTATGTTCCTCCCTTAATGCCAGAGACCAAAAACATTAGAATATAAAAAACTATAATTTTTCCCGTGGTTCTGTATGATTGTGAAACTTGGTCCCTGGCATTAAGGACGGAACATAGAGTGAGGATGTAAGTTTTGAGGTTTTCACGGCGATGACAATGAAGAAAGTCGTCTTCTGGGTTTAGGCACCGTGTATTCTTCGTTTTGGCCGACGTTTCGGAGGAACGTAGCGCCTCCATCTTCAGAGCAGTTGAATGGCTTGGAATGCGGAGAGCAGTAGCTGTGCCTACCTGTGTACGGTGCCTAAACCCAGAAGACGACTTTCTTCATAGAGTGAGGATATTTGAGAACAGGGTGCTGAGGAGAATATTTGGACCGAAGGGAGATGAAGAGACAGGAG